GAGATTCGCCTGCTTGTACCTGACCTCAGTGTGATAATGCTGCTTCCCCTGGGAGGCCAGCTTCTCGAAGTCTGGCCTAGGGGTTCAGACTGCTGTGACACCTAAATTCTCCAACAGTGCTTGCTTAGTACACACTGGGTGATCTCAGATGCCAGGTAAACATGATAAAAGGAAGAAAGGAGGCAGGGAAGGAGGAAGGCCAGGCCAAGTAGCTGGATGGGGAGGGCCTCCTTTGCTCATCCATGGTGTCAATTCCTTCCTAGCCTTGAATCCAGGGGGCGTCAGGTGGTAGGCTGCAGGGGCCCTTTCAGCAAAGCTCTGTTCACCTCCCCTTCCCCTCATGCCCCTAGATGGTGGGGCCAGGAAGAAGGACCACAAAGAAGCCTGGGCAGTAAGATGCCTCTTTATTGGTGCAGGAGCTGTTCCTGAGGGAATCAGATCACCAGACGTCACTGGACCTTTGCCCTCAGCTACTTCCTCCTGCGGGGGATACTCTGTCCCAAGGGCACCTCTTCTGTCAGCTTCTGCAGAAGGAGAGAGAAGATAATGATACTGGAAGCCTGGAGCTCAGGGGCAGGCTGGGACAGGTAACTTCTGGAAGGAAGGGTCAGAAGGAAGGTTGGGTGGAGGCTTCACCTGTAACAAGCGGGCATGGTAGGCAGGGGGATCCTCTCCAGCCAGTGGCTGGGGATGCACGTGCAGGTAGCGCACAGTGGCCGTCTCCAGCTCCTCTACCTCGTACAGGGTGGCTGGGTCCAGGGAGTGGGCGTTGATGAGGCTCACAAGGTACTCTTTGTAGTGTGCCCTGGAGAGAGGCAGCGGCAGAACAGTTGTTCTTCCGTTGGCTGATACCAACCGTGTGCCTTGCACCTCGCCAGGCACTGGGATATGAGCACACCTAACAGTCCCAGCCTGCTGCACCTGTAGGCTGCGCCAATCCAGGTGTGCTGCCCGCTACCGCTGTCTGTGCCGTTGTCCGGACTACCCTTCCCACCCACTCTTGCACCGTCCCAGAGGAGCACTTTACTGCCTGAGTACACCCTCACCATGCCCCAACACCATGCTCCGTGCTCCACCTGACACTCACTGGCAGAGGCCGGCGTAGCCAGCTGGAGTTTCCTTGCCACAAGCTTCGTCCCTGAGCCCATTGGGAACCTCTTTCTGCTCCATCACTCGGCAGCCACCTAAGGGAAAGGGAAGGAAGGGACCCCTTATTGGGAGGAAGTCTCAGAGCACACAGCCCCAGGCAAACTGGGATATCCACAGAGCAAAGGAAGCAGCCTTGGGGGAGAGGCCTGAGCAGAGGGACTCAAGTTCTACCAGTGGTGGCGGCTACTTTGAGATGCCCTCAGTGATGACCAGCTCTGATACAGAAGCAGGGCCTTTGTCCCATAAACGCAAATTCCCTTGGGATAACTCTTCCCGATCTTCTTTAGTTCTAATTAACTTTTCTTGTTATGATCTTATCTCTAAGTAAGTAGTAAGTTAGAACCACATGTAACACTTTCTCTGTTGCATTCACAGAGCCTAAAACGGTGTCCTGCAACCACCATTAAATACTGACTGACTTCATTAATGAGTCATTACCATTCGGGATTGAGAGAAGAACATTATTAAAGGCTTCATGAGTGCCAGTGCTTTGATGTCTTATGTATAATAACTTATATTACTACTGCCACAGAGAAAGAAACAAAGCCTGGGGAGGTGAATTAACTCACCAAAAAGCACTCACCAAATGATTCCAAACCCAGGCCTCCCCTGTCCCCCCCCCTTTTTAAAAATAAATGTTTTTGTCTTGGAGCGCGTGAGAGACAGTGAGAGGGAGTGAGAAATTAACCCCCCCTGCCCAGGGGGCGGGGAGATGGTCACACTGTAATCTCTTCTCCTTCATTCTCCTGGGATCTTAGGTACATATACACACATGCCCAGTGTGATTTTCAAGCCACCAGGTCCAGGACTCAAACCATGGTCGGTCATGTGGGAGTCCAGAGACTATGCCATCTACTGCCCCCCCCAAGCCTCCCCTTTATCCATCATACAAAGGGAGGCTGGCACACCCTCCCTCTTCTCAAAGGCTTGTCCCAACACTCACCTCCAGGGCCTGCGCGGGCCCCAGCTGGAGGCTCTGTATTAAACATGACGTTATTGTCCTGTAGGGGAGCAGACATAGATGAAAGTCACAGTCCCCTTGATGCCAGTCCCTGTTGCACTTACTAGCATCACACCTTTTCCATTCTTGCCCACCCTGGGGACTGCCTCCTCCTCCTGGGCAACCTACAAACGCAGCCCAGCCTGCTCCCTCTGACCTGTAGCAGCTTCTGGAGCCGGACAGCAGTCCAGTCCCGCAGGTAGAAGAGGCAGTCTCGAGGGTGGTGGCCGTGCAGGGACTTTTTCACTCTGCAGTTAGGGTCTGGACATTTCTGGTGGAAACCCAGATGGGAGAGAGGAAGTTGGAGACTGTTGGGGTCCTGGCCTCTCAGGAACCCCTGCATGAGGGGTGTAGGGAGAGGGGGAGATGGAGACCTTGGAGGGTCTGGAGCAAGCAAAGGGGAAAAACGGATGGAAGGAGATGGTTTACACCCCACAGACCTCCTTTTCTCTTCCCCTGGGCTGTTCCTCAATGGCCTCTGTCCCCTAAATCCAGTGGCAGCCCCCCACCCCTCCATCCCTTCCCCAGTCCCTGGGCTCACATTCTTGGCATAAAAGGCACTGTAGCAGCCGCTGCAGAACTGGTGGCGGCACTGGGTGCAGTGGAAGTGCATGCAGCCTCCTCGGGCCAGCGCGTATGAGAACTTGCACTTGGGGCAGTCTGCAAGAAACAGTAGCCAGGGCTGGGGCTGCCACTGCGTCTCAAGGCCCTGAGCAAGGAGCTGCTGGCAAAGGCAGATGACTGAGCCAATAGGGCATGTGGGGCAGCCTCACCAATGCCATTCTCCTGAAGGTACATTGCCAGGCCCTGGGCCTGGTATTCTGGGTCGTTGGTGCGCTTCCAGTTCTGAAAATCCTCACAGCTCCGCCCTCGGTGCTGCTCCTCCCACTACCGGAAGGAAAGAGGCTTCACATGGAGCTCTAGCTCTAGGCGGCCACTGGCCTGGGTGCTGGCCCCCACTCACGTCCAGTGGTCCAGCTGAGGGTATGTCCCTACCATCCACAACCCACTCGAATCCCAAATGAAGGGGCCCTCTGTGGTTCTTTCCTTCCTTCATACCACTTCATACTCATTAGCAAGTCTTGTTTCTACCACTCAAGCCTGTTACCCTGTCCCGTTTTCCTTTATCCCTACTGTTACCATCCTACTCCCAACATCCTCAGATCTTGCCTGTCACTGGTCTCTGCTTCCAGCTCCTGCTCCCCTACACTCCGTTCTCCACACTGCAGCCAAAAGGCCTTAAAAGCATAAACCAGGTGGCTGCAACAGGATGGTAGTGTTCCCATTTTGAAGTCTGATGGTCTACGGGTCTTAGGAATTATTTAGGTATCAAACATTAAACTTCTCAAAAGATAAATGAGATAGTATCACCCTTTGCTGATTCTCAGAATGAGGGTGGAGACCTGCCTCACTCGCTGGAAGATCTCTGACCACCTGCCACCCTCACCCTTGCTCCCAAGGCTCCAGCCACACAGCACTCCTGACTTGGGCCTGTCCATGTGTTGTCCTTTCTGCCCCGAATACTGTCTGTGTGTCTGGCTTAACTTTCAGGCCTCAACTTAAATTAAGCCATTTTAAAGACATGTCTGAGCTCTATCATAAATAGGTTCATTCTATTATTCCTTATCTCAGATTCCTGTGTTTTCTTCACAGACCCCGTACCGACATAAAAGGATTTCCTTCCTCTTTCACTTGTTTTCATCTTTCCTCCCTCATTCCCCTTTCGTTTCCTTTTTTCCTTTCCCGTTTCTCTCTCTCCTTCTTTCTTCTTCCTCCAACCTCCCCGTCTCCCAGTGCCTGTCTCTGGGACTAGCCTGCTTTGCTCTCCAGTACACACGCTTCCCTGGGTCAAACAGTACCTGGCAGCAGCAGCTCGGCAAATATTTCTGAAAGGAGGAATGTGCCTCACCTGGCGTTTGCAGCGGACACAAAAGGTCTGGTGACACTGAGGACATGTCGCCTCCAGCTGCTCACGCTCATATATGAAGCCGAAGGAGCACTGTGGGTGGAAGCACAAAGCTATCCGGGGCCTGACCTGGCACCATCCCCTGCCCCTCCACACTCAGCTCTGCTGGGTGAGCCACTTACCTGGGCACACCACAGGAACTTGGGGTCCCGCATCAGTACACCCTCAGTCAGCTTCTTATGGAACAATGCATAGGCATCTGGCTCTAGGCTCTCCCGAAGCTAGGGACAGGACGCAGAGACAGTAGATAGGTAGGGTTCCTGTTCGAGGCCTGCCACTTGAGTCCCAGGGGATACAGTACCTGGATGTCGAGGGTGGAGAAGTAGCTGAGTAACTGCGTGTCATCGGTGAGGTCAGGGCGGCCACAGGCAGGGCACACCATGTCTGTGATGTGTTTCTCCTTCAAGGCAATGGTGAAGTGCTGTCGGAAGCAGTCAGGACAGATGGTGCACTCACAGGAAGTCAGGGCCTGCATCTATAGGGAGAGAGGTGGGAGGGGAGCAGGGGTTAGAAACCACACTTGCCAGCCTGGGGAAGGACAGTAAGCAGGTGTCCACTGAGAAACCAGGCTCATATTACAACTCAGCAGGAGTAGCACCTCAGGTGCTAATGGGTGCCAGGCGGGCAAACCAAGTGTCTGAAGGCAGTCATGTATTGGAAAACAGACAACAGTGAGACGTAGGGTAAGTGCAAGGATCCCTCTAAAGGCATTCGTGTTCAATTAAAAGCAAAAATGCAAATAACACCCTTGAAATGACAAGACTATAAAGGTGGAGAACAGATTAGTAGTTGCCACATGATTGGAGTCGGGGTACAATGATAAAGGGGTAGTGCAGTAGGTTCCTTGGTGGTGATGAAACAGTCTGTTTGATTATAGTGGTGGCTATATAAACTGTAACGTGGGGTAAAATCGCACAGAATCTCTCTCTCTCACACACACACACACTCAGGTAAAAAGTGAACTAGATCTTCAGAATAGCTTGTATTGTATCAATATCTATTTCTGTAAGTCTCTTTTTAAGAGTTTTTTTTTTTTTTTTTAAAGAATTACTTTATCTATTTTAATTTGACCAGAAAGGGATAGAGTGAGAGAGAAAGAGAGAGAAAGTGAGAAAGCAAGTCACCAGGTCCAGTTTGTCTTGTGGGAGTCTGGTGTCCTTAACCACCATGCCACCCGCTGGCCCCTTAAAAGTTTTTTTTATCATCATCATTATTTTTTTTTTTCTGAGAGAGAGAGAGATGGAGAGAAAGGCGGTACCACCACCAGAGTCCTCCTACCACAATCCAACCTCTAACTTAACTGGCCTGGGTCACAGGTACGCACATGCCTGGTGTGCTCAAGCAGGCTCTGGGACGCAAAGTCAGAACTTTCCCCATTTGGGTCCAGTTTGGCTACCACGGCACCACCCTGAGCCAGTGTCTATTTCTTTTTTTTCTTTCTTTAAATCATTTATTTAATATTATTTATTTATTCATTTATTTTATTTTGACCAGAGAGAGACAGAGAGTGAGAGAGAGAGGGAAAGTGAGAAAGTAAGCCCCCAGGTCTGGGACTCGAACCATGGTCAGCTATGTGGGAGTGTCCAGCGCCTTAATCACCATGCCACCTGCTGGCCCCCCAGTGTCTATTTCTTTTTTTATTTTTTTTCCAGAGACAGAGACAGACAGAGAGACAGAAAGTGAGAAATCACCCCCCAGGAGGGATGGCCACACTGCAATCCCTTCTCCTCCATTCTCCTCTCA